TTATAATTTGTACAATTAACCTCCATGTGGTTCGACCCTGGTCTTGCCGGGTTATTTATTACTTCGACACTCCTGCACTTGGGAGAAGACATCAATCTTTTAGTCGTGTCAATTATTATTATTAAAAGATGTGGGGAAGTTACAGTGCTTTCCCAACAAAGAAAAATATTAATGAAACAAAAGAAAAAAAATTTGAATTAATTGGGTTAACTTTTCAAATCAAGTTAACCCGTCAAATCTTAAATTCATGTTACGAAAATATGATAATTAAATAGAAAAAAACTTTGACGAGTTAATCCATAATTAATTGGGTTAACCTGTTAAGTTTGAGATATGTGTCATGAAAGTCTGATAATTAAATAGAAAAAAATTTAATATAAAAAAATTAAATTAAATAAAAAAATTTATTAAAAAAATAAAGAAAAAACACTCATAAAAGCATAAAAAACAAAAAAAGGAAAACGAAATATATATATATATATTATAATATAATTATCATAATAATAATAATATTATTATTATTATTATTATTATTATTATATATAATATTATTAAAAAATGTGGAGAAGTTACAGTGCTTACACACGTCTTTTAGAGTATTATATAATGTTTGCCTGCATGTAATAATGAATATCCTTCCCTCTAAGTGGCCAGCACCATTTTTGGTCTGCTTTTAGTACTGGAGCCTGCATGTTTTCTTGGGGTGGGAAATTATTGAAATCAGACGGACGGACTTATGCGAGTGTTCGGATATATTCTCTTTATTCCGTGGTGATTTTTGTATCTCTCTCTCTCTTTCATACAAAGATGTGCTGAGCTGTTTGCTAGTAGCCTCCATGGAATTGACTTGTAGTCGAGTAGTGTCATGTGCAGAGTCATAATAGAACTTTTCTTTCTTTGCTCTTTCTTTACTTTTTTTTTTTTTTTTAAATTTTGGCGTGCGTGGTAAGGCTACGCAACGATTGATACTAATCTATCTTTTCAAGTCCCAGTCTAGTTGGACTTTTATGCATGCTACAAGGAAAGAAAAAAAAATCTTGTGAATGCATGCTTAAGACCGGGCTAGCTGGGGATAAATGGACTTCATTTCACTAGCCTGATAATTCATTAAAAATCAAAAGAAAAAAATAGCGATTTTGAGTTTAGCTGTGAAAAAACCATCTCACCATAAATTGAAATAGTTAAATGAGATCTTGAAAGAGTTTTATACAAATTCTTTCAACATTAATAAGCAAATGTTCTTCCTATATTTACTCAGTTAACACGCATGCATAAACATTCCGAGGATTGAAGTTCGCGCGTCATACCTCGAAGAAAACTAGGGAAAGGGAGATGCACCACGCATTTAAATCACACAAATCGTTTTAAATAACACTTTTTAGAGGCATAGAACTACAGGGGAGTTTAATTTGGTGGCTGTAATGAAGGACTTTATATGCGTTTTCTACAGGGATGTCAAAGGTATTCCAAATAGAATTTCCATACCCACCCATTATTAATTAGATAAAATTTTAAATATTCATAAATTATTCATGAAGTTTCGGATATCCATATGGTTATTTTCATATTAGATTCAAACAAATTTCAAGTTAAATTTAATAATATTCATATACTATCTATTATTTCTTAATTAACGAAAACAATTATTCAAAAAATATTTACCCCATTTAACATATTACTACTAAAGCAGACTGTGATAATTTTTGGAATTCTAAAGGAAACTAACAAACAAACAACAATAAATACGAAGAGTACGGAATCATAAAATATTACATAAATACATAAAAAATTCATGAAAATTCATAAAGTAAAATAATATTACAAAGTTTATTTGTTAACATATTGAAGGATGGATGTCTGTCAATAATTTTTCTTAGAAGGCCCTTTTGTGGTGTGGGGGTGTAGATCAGCAGCACATGAGGTGGCAGCAGCGGCAGCCGGGAGGGTGGCAACATCCATTTTGAGGCTCACCTCATTAACTGGAACTTCTCTCGGAATGATAAAATCAGTACGTTTTACACCACTGGATAATAAAAATAAATCCATTAATAGAGACAATTGCAACGACATAAACAAAGAAAACCAGCAGCAACAACTTACTCTTGTTCTGAGAAAGAACACAATGAGATGCCTGTAGGGCATTTCGCAGGTAGGAATACTACTTGTCCTCTTATCGAGCATTTTCCATTTGTTATTTTAATTTCAGCGTCGTGCAAACAAACAGTACTCCTTTTCGCGTTAGAAACATCAGAAAAACTACCAGAAGATTCTTCCATTTCAAAATTACAACATCTGAATGCAAATAAACTAAAATTAAAAAAAAACACCGCACTGTCGCTACTAAACTTTAGATTGAGACAGAATATTTTTCTTGAATTGTGCAACAATAACATAACCCATTAAAATAAAAAATGATTAACCAGAAGTAGCCCAACTTGTTAAAAATTCGTACTTGGATTTCAGCTAAGAAAAGATGGAGATTTAAAGTTTGAACATAAAAGTCTTAAAAAACTGCATATCATCTTGCTCACCATCCTCCCTATAACAACTCTACACATACGGTCATAAAAATAACATTACCTTGCTCGTCGACCTCGATTTCCTATGATTGTTAGTGATCGTGCTCCTACAGTGTCATTGTTGCGTCTCTTATTGTTAGTGTTGTTTTCGCTAGCCATGCGGGAATAATATGAAGTTTATTAGGAGAAAAATTCAAAGATGCAGGTTATTATAAAATGAAAGCTCCAGAGAGAGAGAGAGAGTTGATAAGATAGAAGCTGCAGAGAAGTGATGGAGGGAATAGAAATGTTATTAATACAGGTAGAGTTGATAAGACTCGTACAGATATGCCTGCATCAACTGTGATATTTTCACGGAGAGAATACTGATGAGATCGTAAGGCCAGTGTTGACGAATCTTTAGCGAGCTGGAACCTATTTGGTTCGATTTCAAACCATTCATTAACGTTGTGCTGATTTCTGCTAACTAGCTGGAAGCTATTTGGTTTCATCTGGTTTGATTTCAACCATATCAACTGTGTTTTCGTGCGGTTGCCTGAAGTATATCTGTATAAAAATATTTGAGGAAATGATAATTTTTTATATCAGAATATATATTATTATATCAAAATACAGGTAGGTTATTAATTAGTGCTCTGTTAATATTATTGTTACGTTGGTTAGTTATTGTGAATAAAAAACGAAAAATAAGATATAAAATAATACAGTCAAGGGAAAAGGTAGGAGAAGGCTGCTAATGGAAAAGTTGGAAAGGTAGCTTTTAAAATGAAGTGATGGGTTGCAAATTAATAAATATAAAAAATTATATAAAATAAAAGGTTATGATGTTGTTTTATGTTTTATGTATTTGATAAGGCATTACAAGATATTTTTATATAAAAAAATTTATTAAAAAATATTAATATTTTTTAATTTTTAATATTATCATATAAAAATTATATAAAAAATTCTTAATATATATATAAAATTTAAATTACAGTGTCAAATACATTAACTAGTACCACACAAGACAGTATGAAAAACTTGCATATACATATGCGTGCTTTGTCGGATTCCAAACATATCGTATTTAGCTTCATCTAAATAGATATAAATGGGTTCAGCAAATAAATGTTATTTTCAAGTGGTTTTGCTCCTTCTTGATTCTTGAATCCTGGGCTTAACTACTCTCTATCTCTCTAAATCCTGATGTAAACGGATGTCGTATACTACTAGCTCCTGTATTTTGCATGCTGTTTAGGCTTTTCACCTCGGTTTTTTCTTAGCACAAATACGCCTACATCAATTGTGATATTTTCATGGAGAGAGTACTGATGAGATCGTATGACCAATGTTGATGAATCTTTGATTCTTTTATATACTGACGATTATGTGTACATAGGGAAATGATCTTTTTACTTGGAGAGCGAGCTGGAACCTATTTGGTTTGATTTCAAACAACTCATTAATATTTTGCTGATCTCTGCTAGCTAGTTGGAACCTATTTGGTTTTGCCTGGTTTGATTTCAGCTACATCAGTTGTGGACTGTAGTTTGTGTTCTGTACTGATCCAATGTAACGGTGAATTTTCGCATGAAATCGAAGAAAACACCCTGTTGAATTTTAATATATTATTATTAAAATTAAATTTAAAAAATAATATTTCTTTTAAATATAATTTGTTTAAAAAAATATGCTATAAAATGGCTCTCTCTCGTAACAAGTGGGACGGGTCATTGACCCATATATTTGTCGTGAACAAAATGCCGACACGTGCTAATTTTACTGAATATTGTCGGGTAGCCTTAGTTTTTCTTTTAATCCTTTTAGCAAACACTTATAATACTTAAGATATGTCAAAAAAACATGTTTCTAGTCCTAAGCTATTTAACCTAGGAGCTTTCACTAAGGATAATTGTAAATAAACATAAGAGTATCAAATCTTTTATACCATTGCCTCAATAATTGCTCTATGCTATAAAATAAGTAGTCGGAGAATATATATTTTCAGTGATGTTTATTCTAGAAGAATAAAAAATCTAAAAAATAGTATTGAAAACCACTAAGAAGATGCTTTCTTTTGACATCTATCGCATCCATTTTTGGATTCATCTGCAAATTTTGATAATAAATACCACTTTTTGTTAGCTACAATAATTCTTAAAACATAGAAATTAAGGCAAGTTTTATGAATGAGGTTATTATTGTAGATATAGATATAACTTTTTTTTATAATCAAACTAGTTAAGGAAAAATTACAAAATGTTACAGAATCAATACTATTTTATGTGTTAGAACATATTAACTTTTATGTATCTCATGAGTTTATATAAGTCCTTATATGGTAGGTTGCTTTTTTTTAACTTAATTTTTTTTTCAAGTGTTGTTTTAAAGCATAAAAGATTTCGCAACTTAAGTCAAATCCAATAAAATAGTTTAATTTAATTATATGATTAAAAAAAAATAATAGTAAATGTACTGAATATAAAGTGAAGCTATGATAATGATGACTTGCAGAAAAAGAACAATTGATAAAAAAATTACGAAGGTGAATTCCAAGATAACCTAATATTAAAGTAAAAGAATAAAAAAATTGAAAAATGAAACAAAAAATTACCGAACTGATTCGAGCTAGCATGACAAACTTGTGAACCAAGTCGTGAGGTTGGGTCATCCTTATAGAAAGCAAAAAAATAAAAATAAAAAAGCTCAATTTTCAATAAACTTAATGTTGAAGGGATGAAATCGAAAAACAAATTGGTGTAAAAAAAGATAAAAAGAGATTGATGCTAATTTGAATTACCATTTCATACCTTTGACCCAAGGATTGAGACTGGAATCACCACATAGTAAAAAAATTATAAAACTAAATCTTCAACAATCCAATATTAAATGATCAAACTCAAAAAACAAAATCAATTTTCAAAAACGATCAAAACCCAAAAAAAGAAGCAATTAACAAAATAAGAGTCAAATTTAATATAAAAATAAAATGATAAAATTAAAAAATAAATTCAATTAAGAAAAAAATATAAAAAATAGGACCATATTGGATATAAAAGTCAAATAAAACCAAATCGTAAGGGATGAGATTGAAAAAAATCAATAAAAAAAAGATTCAAAACAAAAAAGATAATCAAAAGAATAAGAACTACAATTGAAAGAAAAATAAATAGGACAACTTTTAATTTTAGTTGGACTAGGGTGAATCCCGATAAGAGAAGAGAAAAAAAAAAGGGGAGGTGGAAAGATTACACTAACATATAACTACCATTAATAATCCCACACATATCATCCTATTTGACATGTTTCCACTTGACATTTCGGATGACACAATGATTATATATTTTTTATTGGTAAAGGAGGCAACATGCGTTGTTTGAAGGCATAAACGTTTTCCAACTATGCCTTGAACATCTAACCATTTTTTAAAAATAATATTATATATTTATTAAAATTTTAAACTACCCCTCAATCAACATTATTATAGCTAAAAAATCATAATGAAAAGATAAAAAAGCCCCTTGATGTCAGTTTAATAATTTTGTAATTCCAAGGGTATTTAAAGTCATTTCTAACTCTATCAATATGATGGTCATCATCATTGTCTCTTTATTTGGATTCTCCATAGCAATATAAATTAGATGTCATATCTAACTGAAGTTCCATATTAATAATTTCCTACACTGATATTTGTCTATTATCATTACCACTTAACTTAGATGGACTGGTCATGCATGATGTTAGTATGGATCTCTAAGAGTTATCGTAGAAATTCATAGCTTAAAATTCAATATAAACATTTTATCTTTTAAAATTCACAATATTTCAAAGTATCCCTCTATTACTCTTAGACCCTACCCTGTACAATGGTATATAGCATTCAGCACAGAACCCTAACAATTATTCAGAGCTTTTTTTCCATGCTAGATTCTTTAAATTTTGCAATCAATCAAGAATTGTCAAAAAGACAAAGCAAATGAAACTATCAGCACCAGGTCAAGCTCATGGAGGGCTGCATAAAGTATATCCCACATATTACAATATCAGTACTGTTTTTTCCCTAAACAAATGAAAATACAATATTATGTTGTTCCTACAAGTACTATAAGGAAACTCCACTTCCAGAAGCATCATAGTGTAACATTAAAAAGTAACAACAGCAGATGCAATTTTCAAATAGCATACCATGCCCCACTTTGTTAATAGATAGTTGCTTTGGTAGCTTTAAGCTTCCATCATCCCCAAATGCTTTTTATGCTAAATATCACAACTATCA